AACTTCGGATAAACCATATACTTAAGACGAAGTGTATGGAGGCTTTTATTAGTCAGATCACATTAGTGCTGAAATTGTGCACATCCGGGATTGCCAGATTTGCCCTTTACAACGTACGTACATCTTTGAATTACGGAGGCCTATACAGGGTTTACACCTGATTTATTACAAATTACGGGTATATTTACAGGTTATTACAGGGGTTTGTGGTTAAAAGTTCTCATAGGTATATAGAGTCAACTCGAGAATTATCGTTAGAAAAATCCGACTTCATTAATACTTACTCGAGTAAATTCGAGTCAAAGTCAAGCATTACCTTTATTGCAGTAGCTATACGTATACACATTAGCATTAACGTTAACGTTTCACGACATGAATATGTACCATGCAAATAAATTTGTGCACGTTTCACATAAATTTTAATATATAAACGCAAAATTTAATTTTCGTGCAGTCTGAGGATCATTTAAATAAAATTGTGCAAAATTATTTTTCATCATAAAAAAAAAAAAATCAAAAAAAAAAATTATTATTATAAGAATAATAATAATTCATTATTAATTCGAAAACTATATTTTAATTCTAGCATTTTACTTTAATTTTATACGTTTTACTCGAAAAGTTTACATAATGACACTGCCATTAGGGGAACATGTAACCCATATATTATTAGCAGAGTTCGATATAGATAAAGGTTCTTCTTTAGCACATCAATATCCCGAGGCTACTGGTACGGATGAACAGTAAGTTCTTTAATTCTAGTCTCTTGTAGATTATTAATTTATTGATTTAACAATTTTCTAAAATTCAAATGATATTAATAAAGTTTACTAGCGGAGTTAATGTTACCAGATGGTGCACATTTACGTACCGAAGATTGGACAGTATTCTTTTTAAATCAATCAATACCAGATCCTGATAAAATATCGATTGATCTAATGTCCGAACAATCACGAGATAATGAGACTCCGTTATTATATGCATTGAATTTGGTTAGAACTAGGCATGATAAAGAAGCTAGAAGGTGAGATATTTATTAATTATGAGGGGGTTTTTTTTTTTTATGTGTTTAAATGTAAGCAAACTATTCATATAGTAATGATCAGATTTGTTTTTTAGAGGTGCTGTAGTTAAAGCAATGGCCATTTGTACTAGACATCAATATTTACATATTTATAAGGTTATATTTTAATATTTATTTTAATGTAAATTTTAATTGTATTATATAATTTATTCATAAAAAAAATTTGTTACAAATAATATAGCCAGTTCTTTTATTGGCACTTGATAATTACTTTCAAGATCCATCAGTAGAATGTCTTGCATCTCTTTACCAAGCTGTGAATTCGATGGATTGTAAATTTATGCCAATATTTAATGCTCATGAAAAAGCTATATTACGAGCATCAGAGAACAAAGATATGTTTGAAGAAAAGTTTATTGCTTATGAAAATAGTAGAAAACATAAACAAGAGAGTTCTGCGACATCATTGAACGAGCAATCATCTGACGAGAGTTCAGGTAAAGGATTGGGAATTATTAATGAAAATATTGAAGGTTATGGGAGTGGAGATTATGTGATTGTTAGTGAGGAAGAAAGGGAAAAATTAAAGAGAGGAACCTATATCGATTTGGCTCCAAATTTGAGTAAAAATAAAGATAGACATTTTTTCGAGACAAAAGTTGTGTATAATGGAATTAAGCTGCCAATAAGAGTGCCATTAACGGTTAATCCTGAAGAAGTTGGTGATGTAAGTTATTATACTTGATTGTAATTCAATTAATTAATTATCATTATTTGTAATTTTCATAAATTTATATTATATATCAAATAGTTTTCGCTAATAAAACTAATCACCACATTTAATCCAACATCACCGGCTCCATTTAATCACCCATTTCATCCGCACTTGGATTCAAGTGGAAACCAAACCCAACCGATAATTTTATTGCTTAATGCGTTACTTACTCAGAAACGAATTATTTTTTTGGGACAAGGACATCCGTCGGGTGATGTTGCCAATTATGTGTTATCTGCATGTGCCATGGGAAGTGGCAGTGGTGGTGTTCTTAGAGGATTTACAGAACGAGCATTTCCATATACTAATTTAACCAATGTAGATGATTTATTAAAAGTGTGAGGTTTATTTTTTTTTATTAATGATTTTTATAGAATTTTTATTATTTACTGATATTCGACCTTCACTACTTTTTTTCTATTTATGTAGACCAGGATTTATAGCAGGAGTAACAAATAGAATTTTTGAGGATCATAGTTCATGGTGGGATGTTTTATGTAATATTGATACGGGGAAAATTACTGTTAGTAAGGATATTGCAACACCTTCATATGGAACTAAACCAGATGAAAAACCTGAAGAAGGTATTAGATCTCCTTCAAGCAAAACTGAATCTTGGGGGCGAGAAAAATGGGACACCACCGATAACGAATTTATGGCAGAAGTATGTCAAATGTTTGTTTATTTTATTATTATTATTATTATTATTATTATTATTATTATTATTATTATTATTATTATTATTATTATTATTATTATTA